GTTTGTTGCATTTGTAGATTGTTCGTAATCTAGGTGTTACCAGATCGTCTAGAAACTTCTGTAGCGACAGGCGAGGTTCATATAAATAGGGGAAATGGAAAGGCAGTCAGTCAGTTGCGAATCAAATCGCGAATTGAAACAGTCAAGTAACGTAAAGCTGTAAAGTAACGTGCAAAGTAAAGTTGTGTCAATAAAGTCATTGTAATAATCGTAATCAGAAAGAACCCGCGTTTTATTTATGGTGTTTCTACACGATATGTATTTTACATATGTGCTGTCACTTTTTTACATATGGAAATCGAACTCGTCATGTGAAACATACGGAAATTTCAATGTGTCAAAACGATATGCAATTACATATGTATTTTTTTCCGAATAGGACGCGCTCTATTTTCGTATGTGAAACATAAGGAAATCAGCTGTTTGAATGAAACACATTGTTGGAAGAAAATATTTCAATTGCAATTCAAAAAAAAAAAAAGGATGAAAAGGCAACAATTACAAATTATTATTTCGTTTGTAGGTGTTTAATAAAAAAATGATGTTGATTTAAGAAAAAATAAAAGTGTTTTTTTGTTTATAGGTTATGTCATATGTAAAATACATATGCCGATTTGAACACAAAAACAAATGTTTTGTGTACACTGCTAATTTTGACACACATAAGGAATTACATATGGATGAAAAAGTGACAGCACATATGTAAAATACATATCGTGTAAAAACACCATTAGTACGAACTGTATTGGGAAATAAAACAACGTCTACACGGGATTAAGTAAAATCCAAGAACGTAACAATATTTTAACTTTTTGCGTGCGTTAACGCGATAACTAAAAACGCACAACGCGAACATTCTGCTTAGCCTTTATCTTGGGCATATATTTATTAGTTTTGTCGTAAGTTTGAACGCTGTTAGCTAAAACAATGTCAATAATAAATATTAAATTCAAATAAAGTAATATCTTACTAAGAATTGTTTATATAAACATATATATATATATAATAACAACAGAATCCCGTGGTAAGTGCACTAGAAAGAAATATCTCCGAAATTTACAAACATATTCATAAACAAATTAGCAGGTATTGTAAAAGGCGTAAAACTATTTAATAAAAAATTGCAAATGAAATTTCTATAATTTATTAAATTTCGAAAACAAAATTTTTTTAACTAAACAAATGATTATATTTCGCACGCTGTAACAGTGCGTGACATGGAATTCGTGATATATAAAATATAAAATTGGAAACATATAACTGCATGAGACTACCTTGTATAGTTATGCCATGAGAAGAGAGGAAGACAAAAAATATTTTAGACAACTCTATGTAATGAATACATAAGATATATAAACGCACTTTTAGACTACGAAATCAATCTACCTCATATGTTAAATTTATCATGATATGCCATAGAAAATAAATCATCTCATTTCGCGATTTATTTTAAATTGCGATTGATTTACTAATGAAATGCTACACTGATTTGGGCGAAGAAATACAGCTCATTCGAGATGTATTTCTACAAAATGACTGCATTTTGGAATCTGACTACAGATTTTGTCGTGATAAAGTGATTTATCTCGAGTTAATTACTAAATCGAGCTCAAATTACCCCGATTTAACACACAAATGGTCTGTTCCCGTACTGCAAGAATCTAATACTTTTTACTACGATAACGAATTTTCCTCAATGATATCGAATAAAATAGTAAAATCTAGTAAATTTTTGCAGTACGGGAACAGACCAAAAATTAAATCAACTCAATAGCTCGAAATCTTAAAGGTACGTTTAGATTTACGAAATCCACTCGATCTCAAATGTCAATTCCATAGCGTATACGTCAAATATAATCCACTGGATTTGTGAACTGGATTAACGTGACGTATACGCAGTGGAATTGACATTTGAGATCGAGTGGATTTCGTAATTGTTTTGTTTTTATTTTTATTGATTTTTTTTGATGATTTTAAATATTTAATTCATGAACGTTGTCAACGTAGAAATTAGAAAAATGTCATTTCATTTTGTGTGTTGTTATTTAATTTAAACTTGTCAAATCGTAACCGAAAACTGTCAATAATACTACTAAAACAAAATTATATATTAAATAAAAACCTTTAGCAAGTATTACTAATTGTCTTGGTTCGAAAAAATCAAATTATATTAATCGCAATTTTTAATTCTCTCATATATTGTATAACATTTCAATGGGCAACACTGAACTTGAAAAATGATCGGGTATTGTTTGCCAAAAATCTTGCTAAACAGCCACAGTCAATGTGTTTAGTCTTCATTGTAAGCTTGTTAGTCGCGTTGCAATTATGTTGTAGTTCTTCATTGCTATTTTATAGCAGCTGACAATATCAAGAAGCTTTAATTTTGCTTGCTATTTTTTTTTTTTTTTTGTAATGTGTTTCTATTTGTTGCTGTTGTGTTTGGTTGTGCTGCATATTTTGAGAATGAATTTAGCTAGCAATGCGGTAATTTTCGTTGGTTTTGATATTTTGGCGATAAACGGCATTTACATAAAAACTTTTTGCAGGGTTAACCTACTTTATGAGGATTTATTTGACAAATAGGCAATGGAATTGACAATTGAAACCCACTGGGTTAACGAAATCTGGTTAAATGTAAACGTACTATTAGCATTTTAAACCCTGGATTAGACGTTTTGTTTTAAAGTGTATTTATGGATTGCGTTCACTGACTCAATTTTTAATAGTCGAAAATGTAGACTTACTTTTGGTTGGACGATAAATCAAACAACATTAGACGGTTTCACATTGGCTCAATATTTTTTTGGAATAAATAAAACATCTGTTGAATAGTAGTTGCACGTATTGTTGTACAACATATTAAATCAGCAGTAGTATATTTACAATTTACATTTAGAAAATCCTGTGGGTCTAGTCAGTTGTCAAATTATGAGCGAAGGAGTCGAGAGCAATTAAAAGGGATAAAGACTTAAACGGCATATACATTAGAACTTAACCAACTTAACCAACTTTATGAGCATTCCTTTGACATATATGCAAAGGAATTGACAATTGAAACCCAATGGGTTTCACTAGTTGTACTTGGCAATTTTGTTTTGTTTCAATATTCTTTGTACACTTGCTTGCAAACGTGTTTACGTATACATACACATTTCACTAACTTCATCAGTTCTGTGGCAACTTTTCAATCAATTTTAAATTTAAATATATTTTCATGGTACAATTATAAAAGGTAACAGCAAATCCCAGCTGATTTGATTCCAACGTAATACTAGTGTCAATATGATTTTGACAAATTATGTTTTTAGAAATAACCCAACAGGAAAATTGGGAACGCATGTACACCTAATTCTGTTTTTACACAATAGAATGGTTCCCGAGAAATTCGTGTAAAAAAAAATCGTATAAAAAAAGATACTGGCCAAGTACAAAAATAATAGATTGGTTCTAGACCTCAAAAAATAAGTTAAAATTAGACTAAATAATATAAAAAAAAAATATTGTTGTAGTTATTTTAAGAATTTATTTTCGTTTTAATTTATTAAATAAACTAAATTATAATAAAATAAAATAAAATAAAATTTAGATTTCATAAAAAAAATAATACCAGAAATTCATTGCCAAAAAACTTAAACGGCATTTACATTAGAACTTTTTACTGGGTTAACCTACTTTATGAGGATTTATTTGACACATATGCAAAGGAATTGACAATTGAAACCCACTGGGTTAACGAAATCCGGTTAAATATAAACGTACTATTAAATAGCATAAAGTACAACCATAAGAAAAATTTAAACAATTTTATTTATTGTCACTGTCTGATAATAAACGTAAACGTTTGCGAAAGACTACAATATCACTGCCATCACTGGAATGATTTTGTTGATCATTCTCATTTCTAGCCGACTGTGTTGGGACATCAGTAGACATAACTCAGAACACACACCAGAATTATATAAAATGTTGCCATATCAGAAATTCATGCCATGCAGGGTTGTTACTCTAATTAAGGCAGAGATGTTTGAGCAAAAGCATTCCAGAATTTTCTTCAATAAATAAATAGTTCATGTAAAAAAAATAATTTTGTTTTTTTTTTTTGTATTCGTGTTATTTCAAATGATGTCGTGTAAAAATAGAAATATTTTTTCGTATTTACTCGTGTTATTTCAAATTCGTGTAAAAACAGAATTAGGTGTAATTTGAAATTGTTCTTTATTAAGTATGCTCCCGTATTCAATTTACTCAATCTGCCTGCTGGGAAAGTTTGAGGAAACGAATCTTTCTTTATCGCAATTCCCAGATTTTCATGTGTTACACATATAAGTGGTAATAGCTCAATTATAGGAAAGATGTGGATAGATTTTCATTCATGTTTTTCATATTGTATTTTGAGGTATCGAAAATATTTCATTTTCAAAATAAATATAATTTATTTGTTTGTTTACATTTTTCTGTCAAATGACGTTGACAATAATATAACTTACAAAAACAAATTTCCATGTGGTTGTTGTATCGATTGTTGTACAACAACACTTGCTTTTACCTTCTATTATTATACCATGATATATTTTTTGATTTTTTGTCTGTTGTCACATTTTTATATGTTATACAAATTGATACATTAAGTGGATTTAATTTTATACAGTAAATCGAAACAAATACAGTTTCATTTAGCATTATCGCGATAAAAGCTATAATGTAAACGCTTTTTAAATGTACTTTACCATCTGAAAAATGTATCAAAATGAAATTCTATGTCTATGTGGAATATATTGTACGACAAATATATCGCATCACAAACATATGGCAACATCCACCCAGTGTTGTATTTGAACGAACATGGCTGGCGTTGATAGAAGATGGCTGGTGCGTCGCGGCGGCTTTTTTCCTGATACATTTTCTTCGGCTCTGCTTAACGAAAAAATTTTGCAAAGCAGCAGCAGTATTTGATTGTCCCGCAACAAGAAGCGATAGAAGTTATAAATTGTTCCGAGTTACAAAAGTTCAGTAGTGTTAAACAAATTTTTTACATTGTAAATTCCAAAAAACAAACACAAATTAAACAAAAATGTCTGACGAAAAGAAGGTATGTTTGCAATTTAGCCCGCAAAATGTTTATCGAGAAGTAGAACAAGCTAAATAAAGTGAACACGCAAAAATGAAAAAAAAAAACTACACAAAAGAACAAGAAAAATGTGTGTATGACGCCGACAAACATGGCGCGGTCAACGGAGACGCAATGCGGCTTTTTTCTCACCATCTGCCCATTTAAAAATTTCGAATAGTTTGTTTCGATTTCAACAATTTGAGAAATATATGTGAGGCGTTGAAGTAAATCATAATTGCGGCTACGGTGGCATTCTGTACAAATGATTCCGGTAGTTTCTAGCAAAACAATATATACGCATAAAACATAACCTAACATTTTGTGATGGCTTTTGTTCATCTATTTCACGAATTCGTTGGTGGCTATACACCCTACACACAGTGTCTACTCGTTGCCCTCGACTTTTGTAGTAAAGCAAAAAAAAAAACGAGGCTTGAACATCTTCGGCGGCGCGTCACTTATTTTTGTTGTGAAATTTTTGTTGTTGAGTTTTTCTCAAAAAGCGAAACGTATCTATATTTATGTGTGTATACACGTTTATTTAACTCGGAAGTACAATTTTGTTATGGTTTAGGGCTAATGTAGCGTTATTTATACCGAAAATGCAAAAAATGCTTGTGTATGTGTAGCTGCCTGCCGCACAGTGACTCGCAATATATTTGGCGCAATAAGTAACTCGAAAATTGGTTTTTCTTTTCATTTACAGGGATCAGAAACCGAACATATTAATCTTAAAGTTTTGGGACAGGACAACGCTGTGGTACAATTCAAAATTAAGAAACATACTCCTCTCAGAAAGTTGATGAATGCCTACTGTGACAGAGCGGTAAGTCCAATATCCCTTATTATTGTGTATATATAATACTCCAATATGTCCAGGTGCAACATTTCATATTCAAATTTGTTCACATTCCATTTTAGGGTCTATCCATGCAAGTGGTTCGGTTTCGTTTTGATGGCCAACCTATAAACGAGAACGACACACCAACCTCATTGGAAATGGAAGAGGGCGATACCATTGAAGTTTATCAACAACAGACGGGTGGCTACAACATTTACTATTAATTTTATATATACAAAACAAACCAATCTAATTTTACTCTTAATAAATATTAAAAACTCATGAAAAAGTAATAATTTTAATATATTTAAAAAATATAAAAGCTGAACAAGAAAATGTCCAACCCCAATCAACAAAACCAACCAGCTTCAATTGAAATAACAATGTATGGAACTGTTGAAAGTGAATTGAAATTTCGTCGAATCACATTCATCCTATTTGTCATGTTTGTTTTTGTAATTCTTCCAATTCACCTTTAACTTTCCCGCACATCATTTTCAAATCATTCTATAATTTTGTCATACAACAACAAATGTGTTATATACATACCTTTTTCAATTGATTTCCTTTATTTTAGTTGTAAACAAATGAAAAACAAAAATAAATTTAATAGAACTTAATGTTTTGGTATTTTAAATGAGTCAACTAATAAAAGCTAGATCCAAAATGTAAATGGATGAGAAAAAAGATACTCGTTGTATTATTGCGAATAATTGTGTGTATGGAAGAAGTAGTACAGTTGGGTATGGGAATGAAATCGATATTTATGTTAATTCAATGAGTGTTGAAGCTCTTAAGACTATACTTTGGCAGGAGAAGCGTGCTTTTTGAAAGTTCAAATATTTCATAAAATGGAGTAGTCCATGTAATGAAGTTTTTGGAATCGCTCATGTCCCTTTGGGCTAGGTTCTCGTTTATGAAATAAATTGAATTGAAAATTTAATTTTAAGAAGACAATATGCCCAAATACCTTTTTATAAAAATCGATATGGTGTGCATCTAAAATTCCCTTGAACTACTGTGTCGATTTAAAAATAATTTTCGTCCAGATTGTCTTTGAACATTCCTCAGTAGATGAGTTTAATTCTTAGTATTTTAAAAACGTATATGTATAACACAAATAATTCCAAAATCTGCTACCATATTAAGACAAACGTAATCATATTGGTTAATTCTGAGTTTTATAAACGGTTCAGTATGAAATATATATACGAACAGAAATATGATCATGAGTAATAATTTAAAAAGTAGTTTGAAATAAATTTGTGTTTGTTTTTTTTACTATTTTCGAACCACTGTGCAGTGACTCATTCTTCCGTAGAACGTTATCGTTGTGGTGTATTAGATGCAAGTACAGTTGCTTCAAAACATGTTTATGGACTCTAAGCATTAGCAAAAGTAGTCGTACACGTCACCAAGTTTCACTTATAAAAATTACAAATCGTCGATGTATCGATAAGAAATTTACATTTTCGGAAAATGTTTTCCTGGAGACAAAATTTTCCAGATATATACCTGGGATATGTATATAATATGATATATACGATAAGTTCTGGGAAATTTACTTAAAGAGTAGAAAAAAATAATTATAATTAGGGTAAACTATAATTATTTTTTGCTAACAATTTACTTTTAAATTCCATTTTCTTTATTGCGTAAAATACGAATATTTGCACAAATTTGATATATATAAGTATTTTCTGCTTAAAAATTATTTGCGGTATGAATTATTGGTCGTTAATAGTTAACATATTTTTTCCGGGAAAGTGCTCAAGAAAAAAACCTTCTTTAACAATTTTATCGGTTTAATACTTTAAATTGATAAAAATATGATAATATTAAATAATTAATATGTTGGTATTGGGATATTTAACACTTTCTAGAAAATGTTCTGTCAGTCTGGTGATGCTTTGTTGGATAATTTCGAAACCTGCTCAACAGTTTAATCGTTGAGTAGAAAATAACCATGGAAAGTTGTATGTCATTTTAAGAATTTTTTGACAGATTTGTAATTTATGTGATATTTTGCTGTCCACAATATATAGTATGTGACCCTTGAAATTCAATCGAATATCAATAAGAGACCTAAATACTTAACATCACTCTTCCATGTAATATCCTGGTTATTGAAATGAATTGGACGCTGAGGAAAAAGGGTGGACAACGTTTATCCCCTTGAATATGAGCGAAGTGATGTCGTAACATTGAGGAATTCTAGCTTTATGGTCGGTGGCATCTTTCTTCTATAATTATTTAATTTTATTCAATAAGAAAATTTTATAAGAAAAAATATTGCCCTCGCGCCTTTGGAGCCACCGTCATTAAAAGAGCACTAACAATTAATTTATTTATTTTTTTCTTTGTATCTGATTCTATACTCTCCTATCTTCCAGCTAAAATTAAAATTTATTCAAAATTAGTTATTTATTAATAAAATATTTAAGTTTTGGACGCGCAATAAATTAAAATCACGGCATCAGTACTTTTAGAAAAACCTGTCGTCACAACTTGCTTGCATTCGTGAGATGCATTACATTCTCACTGAAAAATAAAAGTCCAATATCAAGAAAAGCCAATAAAAAACAGAAAAATTATTTCTACTTATTTTTTTGATTCTTTTTTGCAAATATAAATAATGGTTTTGATATATGTAATACAAAAACTATATTCTAAATATCTTAGTATTAAACATAAGCTTAAAAACATTTTGTTGTCTTTGGGTCACAAAGGGTTTAAACTGAGAACCCCATTTAATAAACCACTAATATTAAATTTTGACTAAACTCAATGTATATGAAACGATTTAAAGCAGACTCAATTCGTTAGAGTAGGCACCATTTGGCGTGAATAGATGAAAATAATACGAGAACTATATCCAAATCTGTACCGTATTAACATGATCCATTTCAATGATGTATACTACATGTACCAGAATATTTACTTTTAGTGTGGCATTTTTATGTATGTATGTCTCAGAACCTGCAAGAATGTACACATGTTTTTTTTACTACGCAGACCGCAAATCGAGTTTCCGAAAGACCAACTATAAGCAATAAAGTAAACAACAACTGATATTATATAACGAACATTTATTTAATGTTCAACGCAGTTATTCAAATATACATAGTATAACGAATTTATAATAAAGGTAATTTTTTGGCAATTATTTGTGGTTAAAATCAACACAGCAAGCCAGTAAGTTGTTACAAGTACTGAAATTTTGTAGTTTCATGTGATCATTTTCGTTTAACATTTGCTATTGCGGCAATTGCCTTTTGTTCCATTTGACTTTTAAGATGACGCTTTCCTTTGAGGTGTTGTTCCAGACTATGTAGATTTGTTATAGTTAAATTGCATGTTTGGCAATAATATTGACCACTGGGTGTGCGGTACATCGACATATCGATTGTATCCGGCTTCTGTTCATTAATAACGGAATTGAGAACATTATCCTTGAGAGAAACAGCAATAGTTTGGCTTGTATCATCTGTAGTGGTAGATGTAGGGGCGTGACCCGTAATTGTGATTTCCACTCCACTTGCCTTTAGTTTTTTCTGATGTTTTATTCCACTTAAATGCATTGCCATTTGCAGAGCGGATGTAGCACTTACATTACATACTACACAAAATAGATTTGGATCTTGTTCATTAATTTTCGCAATTTTGGGTGGTTTGGCATCCGTATTGTCCTCTGGCATTTGTTGTGGTGAACTAACAACGGAATTAGACGATTCATCTGCAGTAGTTGTGGATACATTATCACTGGAACCAAACAGAAATTGGTCACCAATTCCAAAACGTCGGTCTGCACTTTTCGGAAACGCTTTTGTAGAAACTCTGACCCATTTTCCTTCATTATTATAATAGCCGGCACCCGAAGGTTTTGATCGTTGACTTAGAACCATTTGATGTTTTTTGCCCGCAAAATGTTGTTGTGCATGAGTTACCGATGTTAGCTTCAAATCACACAGTTCACAATGGAAAGCATTTGGTCCCACGGGTCCCTGCTTGTAAAAACGTGCTATTTCTGGTGGGTTTATACCCTTTTCCGTGTAATTCTGAAATTGTACGACAAATTATTAAATATTGTATTTAGTTCTCATTATATTTGTACATAATGCAAATGATTAAATTTACGTAAATAAATAATTGCGATTTTCTTGTAAAAATTAATGAAATGAATACGTACTTTTGTAATCCAATTTGTAATGCTTTTATCGTGAGACTTAGATTCATAATGATCTTTTGCTGATATTACCTGTGAATGTAAAAATACTAATTTATTGAAATATACATACACAAAACAACAAGACGAAAAGTGTCCTGAGATCTAGTTTAGTCAATACTTACCGAATTCATTTTCATGTTACACAAGTCACATGAGGAAGGATGTATCAGTGCATTTAATTCGTCTGGGTATGATGGATGTCTTCCCGTAAACATAGCCATATTACCCTTCTCATCATATTCGGCAACGGGTTCTTGTTTCTTTGGCGTGCGGAAAGAATCCATATATTTCCTTTTTAGTGAAGTCTTGTAATCGCCATATGTAAGCGGAGTCTCTGTCGTATCATGAGTTTGTAAGCCGGTCTCTGTCGAAGGATATGCCACATTATTATTTATTTGAGTCATATTATCGGATGGTGTAGCTCCCATTTGTAGATGATATCCGGTAGAGAAATTCATCCTTATATTTTTTTATTGAAAAACAATAAATGTGTGTTATTAATTAAGAACGTCCAAAACGTCCGGAAACAATTTTGTTGTGTATACTAATTAAGAGGAATATCATATGGATGAAGGAAATGAACAGCTGTATGAAAGAAAACAGCTGTGAGGGAGTCATATGTTTGTTTAAACCGTTCAGGACCACAAAAAACCAGCTGTATTTAAATGAAAAGCATGAGAAGAAAAGCGAAATTGCCCTCTTTGATAATAGGTTCGTTCGTTTACTTTCCCAGTAATATTTACTCAGTAAGAATTTTGCAGAGAGTAAATACGAATTTTTCCTTTTCAAGAGAGAAAACTGCAAAAAGTAAACGAACAACATCCAGTAAAAAGATTGTTTCGACACAGCTGATTAAAACAACAAACAAATTGGCGCAAACTATAAGACAGCATTTTTATTAGAAAAATGGATAACAAGCGGAAAATTGATGTTGTTTGTTCCCCATAAACATTTAAAAGGGTTGTGACCTGTTATTCCTGTATCTGCAATTGATATGGGGGTGGACATAACCGATGGTGTTCCAGACATGTTTCGATTTGGAACCTAAAAAATCGTTCGCCAATTACTCTTATTACTCTTATTTTTAAATACTTGCGTTTTCTTCATCCATTTTGGTATTTAATGATACAAAATCATTGAGAACAATTTTTTGTTTGTTTACAAAACATAACAAAACAGCTGATTAAATATCAGCTGATGGTACAAGAAAATTCTTACTGAGTAAATTTTCCTTGTAAGAATTTGCAAATATGTACTCAGAACACAACTGTCAAATCTGCATTTTGTAATAATTTGTACAAATTCGTACAAATTATTGAGTAAACGAACGAACCTAATATAATATTAATTATTAATAATAATTTAAAATTTTTGACTAATGTAGTGTTTTACCACGAATTTACAATAGTATTGAAGATTCTGTTGCGTAGCCTGTATTAAAAATATATTCACAAATGAAATTCGTCTTCAGGGAGCGGCTTCGTCCTCTTTGCTGACGATGTTCAAATTTTATTCACAAGCAACATCGATTCAATAGATGTGCTACAAGCTAAAATTAATTACACTCTATCTATAATTAGAGAATGGATGGTTGCAAATAAGCTCTCTGTTAACCCTTCCAAAACAAAAGCAATGTTTTTTTCTCCTCGCGATTTTGTATTAAATGTAAAGTTACACCATTATATCGATTTTGTTGACAGATTGGAATGTCTTGGTGTTCTTCTGGATAATAAACTTGACTTCTCCCATCACATAGATCGAGTTGTTTCACGTATAAACTATGTTTTACGCCAGCTTTAGATATATATGGTATATATATCTATGTAAATTAATTTTGTCATAATCTGGTGTAGGTACTATAAGTGCATGCATATTGTAAATCTCATTGGCCTTTAGTCTTTTTTTACAAAATAAAATATAAAATAAATAAATAAATAAAAAAAACTAACTGCACAGAGATGATTGGTCTATTTCGATAATGCAAGTATCTATTCGGTTCTACTATAGGAACAGATGTTTATATGTAATTCTACTGGATTAAAAGATGTAAGTAAAACTGATGATATATTTTTTTAATTTAATAAAATGATAAATAATGCCAGATGATAAAAACAATCAGGTTGTCCTATAATTATATATGATTATGCATCTTTCTAAAACCAATTTTGGTACACGACATGTCATCTTCGTACTGCAAGAATCAATTAGTTTTTACTATTCTGTTCAATATCGTAAAAGAAAATTTGTTATCTTAGTGAAAATTAGTAGATTCTTGCAATACGGGAACAGACCAATATTTTCAATCACACCATGAGGGTTAAGAACAGATGATTAAGTACTACCATAGATCTGGTAGCTCCGACAAAACTTTAATTTCCTCTTATTCGAACAGTACAAATTTTTAAATTAATAGCATAAACATTATATTTGGTTAACCAAAGTGAATTATTATTGGATTTTTTTTCAATAAAAGGAAAATGTCGCAACAGTTATTTTGCTGTCTGTGTTATGCATTAACAAATGATTACCATTTCATAAAGAACGAGCAGGGAGATTGTACGGATGCTTATAATATGGTCATTAAATATTTCGATCCAATTATGGTTTGTATAATTTGTCTCCAATTATTTTCAAATGTCTAAACTACGGACTTCTACATTAGATTCAAACAGAGGAGCTGTTTACAGAAAACAGCCTGGGTATTAAAGTTTTGTGCAGCGACTGTTGGCGGCACATACGCAATTTCCATGAATTCCAAATGGGTGTATTAAAAACGCGTTCTCTTCTTTTGGATTCGGATTCTCCATATACCAAAAACATTAACCCACAAGAACAACATGCATGTATTGACGATGAAAGCGAAAATGACCTTAGTGATATGCTTTTGCATGATGATGTCATGATAGACGAATCTATTCCAGAAGCCGAAATTACCATGGATAATAATAGAGGATTTCTAGAAACAACTTCTACATGCGAGAAGAAACCCCAAATGGGAAGCGATTCTTCATTGATCGAGAATGAGTTTGACAATGAAAACAATAATTTAGAATCTGTTGAAAGCGATCAAGCAAACGACGAGAAAAAGGAAACGGAACGTAATTCTATTTTGAACGGAAATGGAATAGAAGTTTCAGAATGTAATAGAGCCAATGGAAAAATGGAAACGGCTATGAATACGAAAGGACAAAGTAAACGTCAACAAAAAAAGGTTGACAATGTAAGACGACCTGTTTACACACTAGAAAAGGGAAAGGAACTGGACAGGTTAATAGCACAATGGAAACCAATTTTAGAATGTGATCTATGTACAGAAACTGCGTCAACATTTGATTCACTACGTTCTCACTTTCGCAGTGTCCACCAAAGTAGATTCTATATAAAATGTTGCGAACGTAAATTTTATAGGCGCTGCATTCTAGTTGAACACATATGTCTTCATATAAATCCGGATACCCATAAATGTGATATATGTGGAAAATCGAGTACAAGCAAATACAATTTAAAATTACATAAGCAAATTGTACATAACGATATTCGAAATTTTGAATGCGATATTTGTGGGAAAACTTTTAATCACAAACCCACTTTGGAGCGGCATCTTCTTACACATGCTGAAGGCGCCAAAGAGTTCTGGTGTAAGGAATGTGGCAAAGGTTATGTACTTGAAATTCAACTTAATACTCACATACGCAACGTCCATAATGGAGTAAAAATTTGTGAGCAGTGCGGCAAAACTTTGCACAGTATGGGAGCTCTGAAAAAACATTTAATGGAACACGGAATAATACCACAAACGAAGTTCCACTGTCACATATGTTCGGCTGAGTTTAAATCCAACGAAGCCTTAAAACGACACAAGGCTGCATATCACCATGACGGATCTACTGTTTATATTTGTAGTGTTTGCGGAAAAGTTTCTGCCAGTGAAAATGCATTAAAGGCACACAAGAAACATGTCCACGAAGAGGAACGAAAATATAAATGTACATACTGTGAGAAGGCATTTAAGCGTCCTAACGTTTTAAAGGAACACATCGCTACACATACCGGCCTGGATTTGTATCAGTGTCCACACTGTCCTCAAACATTTAAAGTAAACGCAAATATGCATCATCATCGTAAAAGAGTTCATCCCATAGAATGGCAAGAGACACGAAGAAATCGTTTAAATTTACCTAAAGTTAATATTATGGAGGTGACGAAACAAGTTGTTTTGTAATTAGCCAACACATAAATGTGCCTCGAGCAGAACTGAAGTCGTTAAAAAGTTCGTATTTTTTATTTTAATAAAAATTGGGATAAATCCAATATATGTTAATTGGAATATATGTATATATTTTGAATTTGTGTATAAGTTGAATGCTTGAAAATTTTCGAATTTTATTTTATGTGTAAAACTAATAATAATAATAGAAAAACAGAATATTTATTTCGATTTATCTATATATATAAAAATGGAGCCAAAAAATGTATACTAATGCATCAATTGAGAACGGCTGGACCGATTTGACTCAAAATTTCTTTCAGTTGTCGGTAATTACAGTGGGAAGGTTTTTATGAAAGAAAATTGTGAGAAAAATCGGCGAAAATCTTGCAAAAATTATTTTAAAGAAACGGCTGGACCGATTTGACTTAAAGTTTCTGTTAGTAGTCTGTAATTAAAGTGGAAGTTTTTAATGAAAGATCATCGTGAGAAAAATCCGCGAAAAAGTTGCAAAAATTATTTTGAAAGATATTAGCATTTCCACACATTTTATATCGAAAATTTATGCTTTCATCTCTTCGTAGTTCTTTTTGGACATATTTTGGGCGAAAATTGGCAGCGTATATCTTTAAGTAATTGTCAATTATGGAAAATTCTCAAAATATGTTAATTTTCTACAATTAATTGGATTGTCATTGCCTTGAAAAAGCGATTGTGTATGAACATAAATTTATATTTTCATTATAGTTAAATTTAAAAATAAGAAATCGAAAGGAGAGAGTAAGATTAATCGTTATCATTATTTGCTAACGTTTTCCATAAGATCAATATTTATTTAGTTTGAAAATATATGTTATGTTATGTGAAACAATTTGCATGGTATGTATAGGTTGAGAATTTTTTTCTCAAATAAAACACAGTAAGACATGGTAAAGTAAAGATTAAGCCGTTCCACTATGTGGAGCCTATACCAAAAACAATACCGGCAATTATGAGGGAAGTTTCTTACCCTATGGGGAATACCGAATTAAAGGCAATTAAATGAATATTCTGTTACTACTTTCCAAGTACTTTAGGATAAGGATGCTTAAATGCGCACAATAATGGAACAAATTGTTTTGAACTTATAAATACAGCACATATCCCATCTGATATCTGGGCACTGACCGAAACTTGATCGTGTCCTTAATAGGAAAACGAAACCGTCTATTAAAGTATTCAATTATTTTATTGAACATTTTCTTATATTCG